TTACAATCAATGATATGATAGAAGAAATTGATGCTATGGACGTGGATGAAGATAATAATGTTCAAGATCAGCGGGATATATTGGATGGAAGTTTAAGAAGGATTCATAGAGATGAAGAAAGTAATAAGAGTGAAGATGGTTCAGCTCAAACAAAGAAACCTACATATATTATTCCAAATGACGGGGATTTTGTGAAGGATAGATTAAGCAAAGGATTACCAGCATTTGCAAATAAGGCAAAAATAGTTTCTGAGGTTGTGGAAAAGATTATGAATGGTGCTATTGAACTTCAAATTAAAGAATTATTCGCCATCTCACCTGTAATCTCTGATGAAGTTAAGAAATGGGTTTCAAAAAGAAGGCTTAATTTAAATCAAACAACCATGGCTTCAGTTGCAAATAATTCTATATTATCTGACTTTGAATATGAAACAGAATCAGATTCCTCTTTGGAAGTTAATGTCCCTCAAGCAACTCTTTATTCAACACCTTTGGGACACGTAGAAATTACAATTGGGAAGATGAAGGTTAAAGCTTTAATTGATTCAGGGTCTCAAATCAATATTATTCCTTTAAAAATTATGCAATTATTACCAGTTCAGACCTTGGTTAATTTAAAAAGTGGCGTGAGAGGAATTAGTGGACATAGGACACCTCTTTGTGGTATTGCTGAGAATGTCAAGATTCATGTAGGCGCTAATATTGATGGAATAGTTCATTTCTTTGTGGCAGAAGATGATGACACGCCTATCTTACTTGGAAGACCTTTCCTCTTTGATTTTGAAGCTCAGTTGAATTTTGAAGAAGATGTTGGTGAAAGAATGACTTTGAAAGATAGTAGAGGTGTATGGATGAAGATAAGATTGTGTGAACCTGATAAAGGCACGTGGGAAAGGAAATTAAATGTTTCAATTGAAGAAAGACAAGGCTTTATGTTGGAAAATAATGGAGGAGATAAATTATTTGAGGAATTACGTGAGGAATTAATTGAAGATGAAATATATGGACTTAAGTTTGAAAATGAAATCAACATGGAGCAGACTTTAATTGATGAAATTAATATCATTATGAACTTGGAAAATGAAGATATATTTGAAAATCAAGGAGGAGTTGAATATAGAAGTTTTGGTGCCAAATATAAATCAGTTGAAAGAAAAGTTAAACCTGTTAATGCGCCTATGCCTCAATATTTAAATTTTCCTCTTCAAAGACCAGCTTTATCAAGAGACCCTTATAAGACTCCTTTAATTCCAAACCCTCCAGAATTTATTGAAACTGATAAGACCACGGTGGAAAGGTTGAAGCAGTGTAATTTTGGACCTTCAGGATGGCTTTCAGATGAAGAATGGAAATTATTTCTCTTTATATTAGTCTTAAGAGAAGGAGCTGTGGCTTATTGTGAAGAAGAAAGAGGATTATTGAAGCACTCTTATGGATTACCTTACGTGGTTCCAGTAATTGATCATGAACCTTGGCAAATTAGACCAATTCCAATACCTACAGCCATTAGAAATGATTATATTGAATTAGTAAGACAAAGAATCAAAGGTGATGGCAAATTGAGAATAGTACATGATCTTCAAGTATTAAATAAAGTAACTATTAAAGATGCTGGAATACCTCCTTCACCTGAAGAATTCGTGGAATCTTTCTCTGGTAGAGCTTGTTATGGATTAGGGGATATTATGGGAGGATATGATGAAAGGGAATTGGCGCAAGTTTCAAGACCATTAACAACTTTTGAAACTCCTTTGGGAAGATTGCAATTAACAAGATTACCTCAAGGTGCAACTAATTCTGTAGCAGTTTATCAGGCGCAAATGATGTGGATATTGCAAGAAGAGCTTCCTAAATATGCAGGGATATTTATTGATGATGGAGGAATTAAAGGACCTGAAAGTGATTATAATAATGAAGTTTTAAAAGAGAATAATGGTATAAGGAAATTTATTTGGGAATATGCTATTATATTGGAAAGAATATTATTCAGAATTGAAGAAGCAGGGTTAACAGTGTCTGGAAAGAAATTTGCCGTGTGTGTACCAGCTTTGGAAATTGTTGGACATATAGTGAGTGGAAAAGGAAGAAGTGTATCAATTAAAAAGAAGAATAAAATTCAGACTTGGCCAATTCCAACAAATAAAACTCAAGTTCTTGGATTCTTGGGCACGTGTATTTATGTCAGGATGTTTATTCCTAATTTTGGACACCTTGCTGCACCTTTAAGAAGACTTACAAGAATGAATGTGGATTGGGAATGGAATAAAGATTGTGATGAAGCTTTTAATTTATTAAAGAAGATAGTGGGAGAAGATATTGTATTGGCAGCTTTGGATTATAGTGAAGGAGCAAATAAAATTATATTGGCCGTGGATTCAAGTTATATTGCAGCTGGAGGAGTTTTGATGCAAGAAAATGATGAAGGAGAAATAAGGCCCGTGTTTTATGAGTCAGAAGTATTTACAGAAGTTGAATCAAGATACTCTCAACCTAAATTGGAATTATGTGGCGTGGCAAAGATTATGAGGAAGTTTAAAACAAAATTATGGGGTCAACATTTTGAATTGCAAGTAGATGCAAAGGCTTTAATTCAAATGATTAATGCGCCTAGTTTACCAAATGCAGCTATGACAAGATGGGTAGCTTACATACAATTATTTTCATTTGATCTTGTTCATAAACATGGAAAGAGCTTTGGAATGCCTGATGGATTATCAAGATGTGTGTCTCCAAGAATGGGTGAGATATATCAAGAGATGTACACAGCAGGAACCATATATAAGCATAGAAGTCATTACTACAATGGCTTCAGCACCTTAATAAACCTTGTAGAGCCATCATGTGGCTTCCATAAATTGCAAGTGTTCAGATGATTGAACAAAAATACTCATATCTTTGTGCTTGGAGGTTTTTGCCCAAATATTGCTAGTTTTGGACCAAATTTGAGTTTCTGACATAATATCCCCTGTGAGCAGTTTGCTTTGGGAAGACTTCAAAAATCATGGCAAAAATATGCAAAAATATGCAAAATGAGGGGACAGCACCCATGAATGGAATCGTTATTTTTTCAAATTTTTCTGACCTCTCCTGTATTGGTGATATTTTTCTACAGTTTCAATTTTCTAAACTCAGTGGTAAATCAGTGATCTGGCGTAGTGAAATTGGGTGGTATCATGTGAAGAATGTCAAAAGAAAAGTTCAAAGAAAGAAAAAGAAGTTGGAAGGGCTACAGGTGAAAATACCGTGTTTGGAAGAGTCAGTTTGGATGCTATTCATATCAAAGCTGGAAGTCATGATTATGCTATAATTGCAAGGGATGATTTATCTGGATGGGTAGAAGCAGTACCTTTAAAGAAATTAACAGCTACAGCAGTAGCCAAATTTATTACAAAAGAATGGATAATGAGATATGGGTCCGTGAAATGTTTTACAGTTGATGGTGGATCAGAATTTAAAGGAATATTTAGAGAAGCAGTTACTATGGCTGGATCAAAAGTGGTGGAATCAACAGCTTATTGGCCTCAAGCAGAAGGAATGGTTGAAAGAGGACATAAGGATATTAAAGGCGCATTAATTAAATTAAGTGATGAAAGTGGAACATCTTGGGAAGCATTTTTACCTCAAGTCTTACACTACACCAAAGTGCATCTTTACCCACGGGTTTAGAAAAATTACTTGTATGTAGAAAAGTGCACTTTTCTTCTGGCATAAAAGTAATTGAGTACAGAAAGCGCATAATCAGTAGAAATGAATCTAGAAGCTGAGAGACCAGCTAAATGCATAACATGTGAGGGGTTTGTAAACGTGGTCTGCTAGTCAAGAGCCACCTTGTTCTCTACCATTTACGTAGTGCCCATTGTTCAACTTGGGTATAGTCAGCTGTACCATCACAACATGTTGAGTATCTGGGATAGCTGACCATTATGAGATGTTAAATTTCGGATTACAACATTGAAATGGAGGTGCATGTGTCTTCGGGGGTATAGAAAAATGGTTTCTACGACATTATTAGACAACAAATCTTTTCTGTACCCCTTTCAACTCGTTTAGGTTACTATCTTAGATGCAACTCAATCTGAAATTGGTCAAGGTGATGGCCATGTTGTTGTAAACTTGAGGCGTGATAATTGATGCATAGTTCAATGCTACTCAACGTCACCAGAGAAGCAACAGAAAAGGGTATGTTGCTACGTGTGTATTGTACATACATATAGGCAACATTAAATTATCGTACTTGTCTTTACACAAGAGATAACCATGGCCACCTTCCAACACCAGCGATTTCCATATTCTTTATTCAAAACAACTCATCATAAACGATCTGTTACCGGAAATCGATTGAGGTCCCCGAAAAAGAGAATCAAGAAGCAAGTCAAGTCTTGATCAAACCACCACTCGTAACAACACTGATAGTCTGCCTATGATGAGTCATGTCTTTTGACTCACCACTAGTTTCCACAATTCCGAGTGGTTGTCATTGCGTTCACATATCTTCTCAACAGACGTCGACTCAGAACGTAGAGCTTTAACCTTCACTATTGCCTTATATTAATCAAGGTTTGTTGCTTGACTCGCTTTCTCCCCCCATCTTTTTATAGTGTGATCAACAGATTTCAAACTCACAATTGCTTTCAGTTCATGCTATCGTAGATATCTTGCCACAACCGCTTTTTCTAGCCTCTCTCTTGACCGGTCTTTGTCTCTGCAAGACGCTTCACCTTTTTTCTTACTTGTTATCTCTCACCAAGTGGGTCACTCAGATTAACACATCGACCCTGCTTCGTTGGCATATATTCGAGCTCATCCACCATCACTCCTTACGACCTAGCTTCCTCCGAGCCGTTGCTCTGATATATCATTTCATTTGTTCACATCATCATCAGTTATTTGATTCAAACTACGTAAATATCAAATTTCCCTATTTAAAACATCATCCTTGCTTGGAAATCAAACTTACAACTCTTCTATTTAATCTGCATAGCTGAAACATTAATTGAATCATGCTGGATCCAGGCGCTGCAGGGGTGACGAAGCAAATGATGCTCGATTGGCTCCGAATCAATCATCCGAAAAGTCCGATATCATCAAGTATTAGCAAGAGCGAGGCCGCAGTCAAAGTACGGGAGAAACAGCCTAAGTGTCTGTGATATCTCCTTTAGATATCTTTCCCATAGACTTGTGCAATGAGCTGACGGCTTTCGTTGTTTGCGTTGGGTGTCAAACAGTCTTCCCAGATCCGAAAAGTGACAGGCCTGCAATGTTCATACACCAGGATCTCATATTTCGAAATGGTACAGATCGTATATATGCACACTTTTACACCATTCTGCAGCCCTGATTCTGACCGTTTGATGTGCCCATAGGTGCAAACAATCAGCTTCGACCTCCTTCGCCACATGAAACCAAGCCAGTTTTACCTCAGCCTGACGCAGAGATCCCATTGGGCAATCAATTCAAGCGATCTGCTTCACCCTCTTCAAGCACTCGTCCCTCAAAGCGCTCCAATATCAGTATGTATTTCTTGACTAAAATCTTTGCTTGACAGTCTTTGACAAATGTGTATTTCGTTTGTCAGGTACCAAAGAATTATCTCGCCAAATGGGAAGCATCAAGAAAAACGTAAAGGATAAAAAGGTAAGCCTGTTGGCTATCTTTTTCCGTTTATCAACTCACATATCGATGGAGATCACAGCGCAAACAGGTTGCGTTTAGCCCCAAAGCTATGCAAGCACCAACCCAAGCAGTATCCTCCAAACCGGTTGTCAATGTCATGGAAGAGGAAACTCAGCGTGATATTAATGCACTGCAGCATTATGAAGCTCCGGCGATGAGCCCCTCGGCTTCTCACATGGTCAAGTCGCCGCTTGTTGAACAACAACCCATACCGCCCACGATTCAGCCAATGGATGATCTTATTGATCTATCGGATGGTGATATTCTTTCCGTTGGCAACTTAGGTTGGTCTCATGATCCCTACATTCCCTGAAGCAGCATGGTATTGATGGTTTGTGTATCAGAGATAGATATACCTCCACTCAAATTACCCACTTCAAAGGTCAAGTCGGGTGTAGATGTGTTTCATGAGGAAAGAGCCCGAGCCGATAAAAGTAAGTTTTTGATCAATGATGAAATTTTTAAAAGAATATATATACTGATACACAATTTGAAGCAGTTGGTGTACTTGAAGCATCAGTCTCTGAGCTTTCGAATAGGATTGAATGTGTTGAGAAGCAGTCCTCAACTAACATGGCTCAGCATGAAGGAGAAAAAATTGAGACAGGCATGTTCGACTTTCTTTTTGATGCTTTGATCTATTTCTGATATCTTGAACTCATATTTTGCTATGACAGAATATCAAATTCAAATGAACGTCGAACGTCTTGATGAGCAAGCCAAATGTATCAACGAATTGACCAATTTGGTCTCGAGCTTGCAGCAAAAGCTTCACAGTGTGTATACGTGGTATGATAAAGCAAAAGATGACATCGAGACCCATGAACTGTGTATTTTGCAGATTATGCGTACGCAAAATGGTGACAATGAAGATGAATTCTCACAGCAGGAAGACGAATTTGTGGGTAACCCATGATCTTATTGCACCAAATAGTTGTTTAGTGGCTATAATTTTACTCAGTTCATCCCCAGGAATTACTGTTGTACTATATTTGTGCCATTTTTGCGCACACTGGTGGCTCATTTTGTATTAGATGATATCTGGTAATGTTGGTGCAGGTTTTGTTCTGAATGCTGTGCATTCTTATCAAGAACGTGTATAAATAGTTTTGTGAACTCGAAGCTTATATCCACATTAAACTCAAATCAATGTGTTCAAAAGATCAAAATTCAACTTATCCTTCAACTTTCTTAATGTTGAACATTTGATTCAAATATTCTGTGCGAGTTTTGTGCATTCAATCAAGTTGACCATCAAATGAATTGTGTAGAAAATGTGGTATGCAAATCAAGTGAGTTCAACAATTGGGATTACATAACAAAGCTCGGTGAAAATAGGGTGCCTGCGTCCGGTTCATATGACCTCGCTTCTTCTGAGAGTGTTGTGGAGTGGGGACAACACTGAAATTAAACCCGATCTTCTTCAGAAATGTATAAGGGGTGAGACTTTATTGAAGAAGATCGACATTTGTAAGTTTATTAAGCCTTGCAAGGCTTCCGATTGTCATAGAATGTCATGATACAGTCCGATCGTCTTCTAGTCCCCAATACTTGCCAATCAAATTAATTTCTATAAATCTTTCAGCCAGTCTGGATATTTTGAAAGGGTTTGTCCTTCGTGAATCCTCATTTTCCTGAATCAACTCTTCAACTCTTTTTCTGCGATTCATAGTAATAGTAAGTATAAATCTCATTGTGATTTTTTGTCAACTTTATCAACCTCTTCATGAATCCGTGCCATCTTTGATTCGATCGTTGCTGATTTGTGTGATCTCTACACATTTACAAAAGATACTTCTTATATCATTACCAATATGCAACAACCTGGAAATCATACTGAACCACATGTCCACCAAGACGATCCAACAAAACGAGAGGATCAAGACAAATGTGAGGTCTCCTCAATGCTTATTCAATTTCATCGTGTCCTCTAATATTTGATCAACCTCTGTAAAGTAGATGAGAAGTTGTTAGAACAAATCAATCTTCTCCAAAGTTCACTCAATCTCATCAAGAGAAAGATTGGAAGTAATTTGGCTGAAAGCTCGGAGCGACAAGAAGAACAACGTATGTACTTCATGTTCTGATTGCTCATGTATTCATCACAGCTGATGTGCCTTGTGTTTATAGAGCGCGAAATTGATCGCCTCGACACTTTATTGAAAGACGGGATGCGCAAAAATCACATGCTCACCCACCGAATTGCTGATCTCGAAGGCAACATGTCTGATGTGAAGTGTGAGGCGTACGGAGCCCACGCCAAGATTTCGGGTCATGAAAAGGTTTTTGAGAAGTTGATTGCTTTCTTCAAGGATATCGACCTTGAGACGGAATATGACAGTTACGAATCCGCCAGTCAAAAGGCTGCTTCTGCTGGCTCATGTCCTCGCTGTGACTAATCATGAAATGAGCAAATGTATCACCTCATGCATCTATCTATCTAGTCCTCTTTATCTACTTGTAACAAATCCGCCAGTCAAACGGCTGCTTCTAGCTGCTCATGTCCTCGCTGTGACTGATCATGAGAGCATGATTCAATATCTTCTCATACATCTATTTATATGATCCTCTTTATCTACTAGTATGATTCTTTGGTATTACCTTACTCTCATCTTGGAATCTAAAAGAAGTTTTGTACACGAACTCGCAGATGTGGGAAAGGTGACTCATTGACTAATCAAAAAAAAGTTTTTCGCCTCAAGATATGGGTCCATAACATTATATACACATGTATGATGAAACTATGAATTACTTGGAGAGATTCTCTTTCAGGTAAAGAAACTCACTTTGATCTGATTTAATTTGACTTCTGAGTTCAAAGGTAATAACTTTTTCATCTGCCTGAAGCTTTGAGGTTGAAACATTCAAAGAAGTGTTTCAATTTCTTCTAAAAGTACAAGTATGAATCCGAACATATCCAAGTTATCTTCACGTATCTTCTCGAAAGATAAACCTAAGAGAGAAGGAGAAAAGAACACTAAAGAAAAAAGAAAAAGGGAAAAGACAACAATATGATATAAGGAAATTGTGACCCTGGTTTTTCCATTTCTTCTAGTAATACAAGTATGAATCACACAAGATCCAAGTTATCTCTTCGCCTATTTGTTGAAGAAATAAAACTAAGAGAGATGGAGAAAAGAAAAATAAAGAAAAAAGAAAAAGGGAAAGGAGAAAATACAAGGAGATTGTGACTCCGGAGTATCTATCTTTGTGTTTAAATGACATGGCTAAAGCAACTTGATTCTGAACATACCGGGTCCCAATAATATCATAATCAATAATTGAGAACCATGATCAGGATGGTATGATAGAGTAGTGATAGCCTACAATAAGTCGACCAGGTGCTACTTCCTCTTCAAGGACAAACCGGGTGTAAATGTCGACACAAACAGAACGAGTCAACGGAGTAAGATGAATGAAGACTTCAGGATTTTTGCTTTGAAGAATGAATCGAAGTTGTTCAATGGTCTTTGTCTTGATGTTGGCAGCAGTGACACCACGTGGTTTAGTAGAGAACTCTTTCGCTGCGGGCACAACCAAATCATTGTCGACGTATTCCTTGTAAAGGAGGCGTAAACCGTGAGGGTTGACACCTTCAGGGATGGTGAGCGCAGGTTTTCGGCGGTGGATAGCTTCTCTCAAGGCGCGTTGTGTGGCGGTCAAAGGATCAAAGTCGACATCGGTTTCCATGGGTTGTGGTGGAGGGGCCTGAATAAATGGACCAAGGCGTGGAAGAAGCTCGGTTTCAAACGCGTTTATTAATTTATCTTTACGGTGGGTGACTCGGTGCTCGGTGTTGGGGTCAAAATGTAAGAGGATCCGGTAAATTTGATCTTTCTTGATCTTCGGCTTCTGTATTTCATAGTCATGAGCAAGAAAAGCGCCACGAAGTTTGTCGTTTAAACTTTGCACTTGACTCCATAGTGGATGTGAGCGAATATCGTCGGCTCTGGAGGTGCGGGCATGCGGTGGTGGATCTGATAGCGATATCGGCTCCTCGGATCTAAACTGGGCAAAGCCGCTTTTCTGCGCGTCGAGGATCATTTGTGATATAGTCGTTGGGGATGTCGATTTTTTCTTGTTTTTGGTCATTTTCTAAGGAATTGATGTTAGAGATACAGACATATGTATAATGATGTGCGGAAAGGTGTGCGAAATACATACTTTTTATGAATCTTTGAGACAATGACTGGGACTTTCTATTTTGTTGTGAGGTGAAGTATTTGTGGCCTACACCTCAAGTTGGACGTTTCAGAGAGCGGCGATGGTAGGAGGCAAAAAGATGTACATATGCAATACTAAATGTCGACTTACACCGCTGGATTGAGGCCGATCTGGAAGCTTGAATTGTACAATCGAACAATAGTGACGATACCGAGTGAATACGGAGTGATCTTTATCAGAAGATGGCCGGAGAAAGGGGGGTGAGCAGTTTTATGATTCAGCTTTTCAGATATCTTAGGAAAAAGTGTTACAACTTGATCTAGGAAGAAGACGTACATCAATCTCTTTGTTGAGGGAGATAGAATGAAACTTCGATTTGAAACTTTGTTGTGCCGGTGTTTTTTCGCAAGTGCTTGGTGAAAGATTTCGGAGGTGATCAAGCAGGTGTGTTTGCTATAGCAAATAAAAACATGAGCATAACAGGTAAGCAGAAGATTGAGACGTGCAGATTTAATTAACTTAAGATGTACAGGAATAAATCAAGACAAAAGTACATACCTCAAAAGGAGGCGAAGCAAAGAAAACAAAAGGAGGTGAAGCGAAGAAAAGGGTGCAGAAAAGCGGCTTGTGTAAATCTAACTATGGCTGAGACCTGATTAGCACAACTCCAATTTGCTGGAGTATGGGCACTCTAGTTCTTGATGGTATACCTATATATGTTCCTTCAGCCGGCTGGGGTGAACTCTTCACATCAGTTCCAATCGAAAGGTGTTGGACACGTTTGACAAGGGATATCACAAGAGCCCACTGGTAGTTTGACCAAGTGATCTATGACTTGAAGATAGAAACATCACGGCACAGTGATCGGCACCTAGGTAAAGAATGGGTTCGTGTGATATACCGATCACTGTGGAGACCTCATGTAGTAGTACCCTTTGAATACAACCTAATCAAAGAGGAAGATAGATACACATGTCAGTTATGAATTCCTTTGTTGGATTGAGGTTGTTGATCAATGTGTGCAAGGCAGATGCTTTGTTTGCTGAAAGAGATGTCGACTGCTGACTGCTGTCCTCGACGAGTAATTTGTGGGTCGACCTGTGGAATTACTGGACAAAAGATTTGAATCGGTTACTAATTGTAATATATGACGTACCATGGGGTGACTTCAACAAGTCACTTCGAGAAATCCGAGTGGCATGGAATTGTTCGAAGAGCTTGTACATAGTTCCATGGCTACAAGCTGAAAAGGTTGCCAGAACATCGGATGAAAGTTGACAATGCAAGAAAGAAAGGAAGCGCTAGATCTTTGATATTCATGTCAATGATCAAGCACAGAATTTGAACGTGACGCGATCACACCCATTGGAGCATTATCATACTTCTTATATTCCATCATTGTCCCTAAAAACCTAAGATATCAACTTTGTATTCCGCTTTTTGCGGATGTTTGACACAAGCTTCAAATTGAATCATTCCACTGTTCATTTCTTTTTCACATGAGCGTTGTTGCTTTTTTGATCTCTCATATACACTAATCATTTTCCGATTACCGCCATGTCTGATACAAGTACCACACCTAAGCGCATCCTTCGAAGCTCCCGCAGAATCTCACAATCACAACCCCAGGCCGCCGAACCATCCAGCTCACATCTGCATGGCCAACCACCTCTTCCACAATCAACGACTGCGGTACCGGTCAAAGTCCACCCTAAAAAGAGGCGAGCTAGCGAGGATACTCCTGCAAATCCGGAAAACAGTGAGTTTTCTCAATTCTTCTTTTAAAAAATCATCCAACGTTTGTCTAGAATACCCATTCAACTTGAAACTTACTGTATCGTGTCTCCAACGCCGTGAAAGCCTCTAATGAAGTACCTCAATCTAAGAGGTCTCGCAATAGGTTGCTTGAACTCCTCGATCAGTATGTAAAACCCAAGAGAGCTCGTTTATCCCAAGGCGTGGTACAGAAACGAACCCCATCAGCTCAAAACATCAGCCCATTAAAGCCGAATCCAACTTCAACTCCAACTGCAAATCCGAATCCAAACGTGGAGTCTCAGGTTGTACGCGGTGGAAGTGCAGGACCAGACGTGGACTTCAATACTTTTGAAGTTCCACAACTCATTACAATGGTCGAAGGAGTTGGCCTGGAAGGAAAAACTCTGCCTAAGGCTGAACTAGTGCGGTTATGCAAGGTGTATAGAGAACTCAGTACGTCTTGCGATTTGCCTCACTAGACACCCCAATACTCACTTTTTGAATCTTTCTTTTCCAATCTAGTCATCTTACCCACCGAGGGTTTTCAATTCACGTTCAAGCCTAAAGCTCCGACTCAATCTGTCAGTGCTGACATCCAACGTATGTATTTTCATTGATCATGCGCAGATCGATGAAATATAGATAACTGACATCTGGTTCTCTGCTCTAGCAACTCATCCACCTCAGACGCTCCCTCTAGAAGTTCCCACAAGCAGCCAAAGCAGGTGGAAGGGAAAAGGTAGAGCTCATTCATTAGCCCCTTCGTTTTCTTCAGAACTCGCAACTCAAGAGGGGGCATCAAAGTGTAAGTATTATTCTAGAGATGTCAGTGATACACAGCAAAGTATATTTGCTGAGAATATTTCCGCATTTCTTCATCCGCAGCTGTTCAAATGCAAGATGACCCACCTACCCATGAGCAAGAACAATCAAGTTCTAGAACCGAGCCTCGTGAGTAGGGTATCTTCACTTACTTCCATCGGTCCTGCCTAAAGCTAACTATACTTTAATTGTCAGCTGGCACAACTCGTCAACAAGTAAGATTCAGCCAATCACCAGACGCGTGTGAGGAAATTTCCCATCTTTAGTTTTATATATCTGGTCTCTAATGATATTTTTTTTCAGCCCTTCCGCCAAAAAAAAAGAATACAAAAAGTAGAAACATACGGAAGGGTAAAGACTGTAACACAATCCAAGAACGCGAAACAGCAGAACCAACACTCCCCAGCCTCCAGCACTCCCGCCTCCTTTACCCTCGACCACATCCCACAACTCTTCCACCACCTGATGCCAGTGCCCCAACAAAAAAACACGTATCTGAGTCCGATAACGATTGGTCTCCGGGAAACGAGACTGCTAGCAATCCCAGTGAATTATCGGATGCTTCAGATATCGACATTGATTACGATGGTCCAACTCGACATCCTGCTAGCACCAAAAGAGTTGAAAAATCGAGATCCTCATCAAACACCTCAAGGCCTCCTGACACTGAGTGCCTTCCACCAAGTCCTGTCCGCCCTTCGTATGATTTCAACGAAGAAGGTGCCAACAATCCGGAATCTTTTGAGGATGCTCAGGATGAGCCAGACCGCCTTACAAGGCTTGTTTGTAAGTAGGCCGTTGTAGAACTTATAACCCAACAAGGGTTATACAGAGCTGGAAGAGGATAATCCACTAATAAAATGACTAGTAGAAGTTGTCTAAGGACTGCTCTTCTAAAACAACACAATCAGAAAGAGCTCTGTTGTATTGAGTACTGATAAGGCACCAGAGAAATATATCTTCACACGTAATTTAACTTCAAAAGCACACTTTGTATTACTATCAACACTGCTATAGTGTTATTCCCAATTGATAACTAAAGAAATAAGCAATATCTGATTTGATATTATTCCCAATAAGTCTTTATGACTATAAAACTAAAGTAAATTTCTCTTTATAATTGTAATAAAGGGCGTATTTAAGTGACCAGGTACTATTAAAATAAGTTTATAATGATAAACAAAATAATAATGGCGTAAATGATAAAGAAAAAAAGGGGAACAACAGTCCCAAAACCCTCTCAAAGTATATATAACAATGTACTAGAACTTTTACAATGGTCAACAGCCTCAAAACCAATCAAATCCGCCCAAAATTCCCTAAAAACCCTATGATGACGCAATGTAATGATTTTGTTACTAATAAATGATGTAATTTTCACAGCTAAAAGTGATCAATGACGCAATAATATGATGTACAGCACTTCTTATGATGAATACAGGTGATTTTTTCCTTGTAAACTAGCTGAAAACCAATTTTTGAGATTACGAATTTTTTCAGATGTGCTCCAATTTTTGATTACTAAAGTGCATCTTGTAGCCCACGTGTTACTGATCATTTCTGACACCTACATGACCTACTTCTGATGAGTGATGAGTAAGATATTGAGTTGTGAAGTTAAAGTTTTTAGTGTTACATGTGACTTGTGACTGTAAATTCGAGATTCACACCAATTCTTTATTTGCCTTATAACTTTTTACACACACCTCCATTACTAATGATTTAAAGTTTGTACATTATGTAATCCACTCTTCTGCGTTGAATGAGCCATCTACCAACCTATTCTGACGTCATTTGACATATGTAATTAGCTGAAAACCTCCATTTTCCACGAATTTCACCCATTTTCTTCACTTTTCACAGCTACTACTCTCTTTTTCTTGCTTTTGTAATATGACATCATCATCTATAACCTTAAAAATCCCAAAAAATCCTCTTGGCAACCTTAAATTCCATCACTACCACTATTACACAACCAAACTACACGTGTACCTTTTGTTTACCAACTTCGAAAAAGTGCTTTTTCCCTAATAACTTCTGTTTCTACTTATCAACCTTGAAGATTAAAATTGTCATAGTATAATATAATGTTGTTCTTTCATATTCTAACCTTATAATACCCATAACTTTATTTCTACTAACCTAAAAACCATTTTCCAACCTTTGTACCTATAATTTCGAATTTTTCTTATGTTTTTCTTTCTTTCTTTTTGTAATAAATTTGTAAGTAAACTATAATGATCTTAATATATAATGTGAAATAAAAAATGATGTAATGTTGACCTAATGACCAATACATAAGCCTACAAGAGCTTCAATTGATCAAAAACCTCCATTTCGAATTTTCT